TTTTGGGTCAAATGGTGACCATTTGCAACTTACATGAAAGAATAAATATTCAAAGTAAAACAAAGTCTTCCTTGAGACCCTCCATCAGGACTACAGATGCCAACCACAATGAAGCTGGGACACACAGACCCTAATCTATGGTATAAGCACTTGCAGTCCTCAAGTGAGAAGATGAATTGCCCTCAACAAGAATCCTGCTAAGAGGTTTGAGTTATAGTGGTGATAGAGGGGAAAAAGAAATGAATTGACTGCTCAGAGTCTTTCACTCAAGTACTAACCTAACCCAGGAGAGGATCCATGGGGTGCAGTAGTGAGGTCATGCTGCCTGTGTGCTACAAAAGCAGAAAGCTCACTCAGCTCTCTAGCTTACCAACACAGCCCCTGGCTGGAGGCCCCCCCACCAATTTTCTTACAGCTCCAGAAACTGGGGGGGTGAGGGGGTGGTAAGCACCACTGCTACTTGTTCTTCTTCTCCCCACCACTAATCACATGAAAGCTGGAGCTAAGCCCTGCTACCGGTCATCCTCTATTCTCTTGCTGCTGAATTCAGCAAGGGGGCAAAATGGCACACGGATCAGCTGAGAAGCTCGAAGTACAGAGCTCCAGCAGCAGCTGTGCTGACATAGCGGTGATCTCCTAGAGCTCACTGTACCAAACAGCAATGTGAGCTCCCCATGCACAGTGAGCTCTCAGAGCAATCTGGTATCCAGGATTGGACCGAGGGGGATGAAGCCATCCACGCCCCTTTCTGCTGTGTGGTACATACTCAGGGAGATCTCTTCACTGCCCGAACTACAGAGCTGAAGGGGCTGGGGCCACAACACTTTCACTGCAAAGCTGGATCCAACCACAGCTTAATGCAAACTCATTCTATATAACTTGTGGGATCTAACAAGCCTGGAGCCTAAGAAGCTGAAAAATGGCTTTTTATCTGTGAATTTGAAGTAAAGACATCAAATGTGTAGTGCTGGAGTCATTACTTGCCTTCTAAATCCACAACCTAAATGATCTACCATACAAGACTCCTACCAGCATTGTCAATCACTACCAAAAGAAAAATATTTCCATGCGCATTTGGCAGTCAGAGCTTCTGCTGATGCTACCAACAAGGGTGACAATTAGTACTAAGAAAACTTTGTTTGTTGTTTTAAACTCAGGTTACCTGGGTAGTGGAAACAGAACTGGGACCATTAACTCATTTCACATGCGCAAACCAAGAACAGGAAGTTAGCCTTAACTGAGCATTAGCCATGGCAAGGGGAGGGATGGAGGATGCTTCCTGTTCTGAGCTAACTTATTTAACACTACCTTGGCTATTTCTACACTGTACTGCAATCTGTAGAGCAGACATCCCCAAACAGCTACTCTGTTGCTTAACACTCAGTTAGCTGAGATGACTGTAGGCAATTTTTCCTTGGGGTTGTGGGGGGGCATCCTCTAAAATTTACTCCATATGGGGCACATCTACACATATAATTTATGTGACTGAATATACTCCAGCTCAAACTGAGCCAGAGTAAACAAATCCTGATGTCACCATCTACACATGCATTTAAATAGTAATTTACTGTGCTGCCAGATACCACTTATATCTGACAGCACTATCTGTAAGTGCAGTAAATTAGTCTATTGCACCCTAATTCCTACACATGTGTAGACAGCGATGCTCTACTGCGAAGCAAATTAGTCTGCTGTGCAGTAAAGCATCTTGTGTAGAAGCACCTACTGGTTAGAATCCCACAGTAGCACAACTGTGACACAAATTTTAAAAACACGCAAGATTCAAAATGAAGTGAGAGGCAGTGGTAATTTGAGTTTACAAAGCCTTCATTTAATATGCAGAGAGCTTTCTGCGACTTGAGAAGTGCTGACTCAAAGTTCATATCAATGATTATAGTAATTAAGATCAAGAACATCAGATTTGTGTGGGGAACAGAGGTAAATTTAAGTCTTTGATGAGTGATGTACTGAGCAATCAGCATTGGTTTAAGAGACAGGCTGACCTCAGCTTCAAAAATAAACTTCTAAACAAGCAAGAATTGTGTAAGTGCCATTTCTAATTCACAGTGCATGAGGTCAGTCTGAATATTAAACAAAGCATTCCTGCACGTAGTCTTTGCATATATTTAGACCCTTTTCCATATTCTCTCTCTTTTGGATATTAGACTGAGGTTGTGCCCAGAGTAGCACTGACCATGTGCGTATTATTCTAATCACTAACTTACTGTACAATGCATATTAGTTCTGGCTATAAAGGCCACTACTAGGAGTTAATGTTAACATTTCTTTCAAATGAAAAAAGACTCCCCACTATGATTCCCCCCCACTTTCAACCCAACCCCACTATCTCATAAATCATAGTGGCTTACCACATTTACTTTAGTCTAAATAATAATGGTGGCATCTGCCAATTTGTTAATTACTTTTATCAACTCAAAGGCATACATTTAATATCTTCTAAATAATTAGGGCTCATCCTTCTACTTTGACACATCACAGTCATTTACTCCTCAGAGAAGGAGTTTTGCTGATTGTCATATGTGGTAGATTTGCATCTAAACTAAAAACATATAGGTTTGATACAGCTCTGTGTTCTAGTAGCCAAGAACGTGGTATCTTCATTTCAGTGAATGTTCTACCACAGTGCTCCGTAGCCAGGACAGCACCAAGAGCAGGCTGAAAATGGATTTGGTTAGGGTAGCACTGATCCAGCATACACCTCATTGAGGCTGAACTCCTCAATGAGTTTTTTGCCTCAGTGTTCCTAAGTGAGGGGCAAGACAAGTCTCTCACTGGGATTGTAGAGAGGCAGCAGCAGGGCGCCAGACTACCATGCGTAGACCCTGAGATGGTACAGAGTCACTTGGAGGAACTGGATGCCTTTAAGTTGGCAGGCCCGGATGAGATCCATCCGAGGGTACTGAAGGCACTGGCTGACATCATTGCACAGCCACTGGTGGGAATATTTGAACACTCATGGTGCACGAGCCAGGTCCCAGAGGACTGCAAAAGGGCCAATGTGGTCCCCATTTTCAAGAAGGAGAGGAAGGAGGACCCAGGCAACTATAGGCCAGTCAGTCTCACCTCCATCCTTGGCAAAGTCTTTGAAAAAATGATCAAGGCTCACATTTGCAAGAGCCCAGCAGGACAAATTATGCTGAGGGGAAACCAGCACGGGTTCGTAGCAGGTAGATCATGCCTGACTAATCTAGTCTCTTTTTATGACCAGGTTACAAAACGCCTGGACGCAGGAGTAGGGATTGATGTCGTATACTTAGACTTCAAGAAGGCCTTCGATATGGTATCCCACACCATACTGGTGGACAAGTTAAGAGGCTGTGACTTGGATGACGACACAGTCTTCATCAGCGACTTGGACGAGGGAGTGAAGTGTACTCTGTCCAAGTTTGCGGATGACACAAAGCTATGGGGAGAAGTGGACACGCCGGAGGGCAGGGAACAACTACAAGCAGACCTGGACAGGTTGGACAAATAGGCAGAAAACAACAGAATGCATTTCTCCTTGTTGAATTGCAAAGTGCTGCACCTAGGGAGGAAAAATGTCCAGCATACCTACTGCCTAGGAATGACCTGCTGGGTGGAACGGAAGCGGAAAGGGATCTTGGAGTCCTAGCGGACTCCAAGATGAACATGAGTTGTCAGTGTGACAAAGCCATCAGAAAAGCTAATGGCATTTTATCGTGCATCAGCAGATGCATGACGAACAGATCCAAGGAGGTGATACTTCTCCTCTATCGGGCGCTGGTCAGACCGCAGTTGAAATACTGCATTCAATTTTGGGCGCCACACTTCAAGAGAGATGCGGATAACCTGGAGAGGGTTCAGAGAAGGGCCACTCGTATGGTTAAGGGCTTGCAGGCCAAGCCCTATGAGGAGAGACTGGGGCACCTGGACCTTTTCAGCCTCCGCAAGAGAAAGTTGAGAGGCGACCTTGTGGCTGCCTGTAAGTTCATCCCAGGGGCACAGAAGGGAATTGGTGAGGTTTTATTCACCAAGGTGCCCCTGGGGGTTACAAGAAATAATGGCCACAAGCTAGCAGAGAGCAAATTTAGACTAGACATTAGGAAGAACTTCTTCACATTTAGAGTGGCCAAGGTTTGGAATGGGCTCCCAAGGGAGGTGGTGCTCTCCCCTACCCTGGGGGTCTTCAAGAGGAGATTATATAAGCATCTAGCTGGGGTCATCTAGACCCAGCACTCTTTCTTGCCTATGCAGGGGGTCGGACTCGATGATCTATTGAGGTCCCTTCCGACCCTAGCATCTATGTATCTATGAACCTCGCAGTAGTAGTATGAAACATATGGCCCACAGACCAGATCTGGGTCACAGAGGGGTTCATCTGGCCAGCAGAGCTTCTAGCTATGACCGCCAGCAGCAAAGGAGTTAATGTCACCACCACTCAAACCTCGTTGCCCAAGCTCAACCCCCATTGCCACTGGCTGCCAAAGCCTGTGTTCAGGCGGCCAGTACCTAGGAGGTGAAAACACCAAAATTTGGCCTTTTCTGTCACCACTGGCAGCATCACAACCTCTTAGCCTTCATTCAATATTATAACTCCGTTTATTTTATAACTAACCCTGTCTTGAATGTAACAGCCACAGAACATTATTGAAAGTGGCAGTTGGCAACAGGGGTTGTGCAGTGGCATTAACTCCCTGGCTGCCTGCCCTGCCAACACAATGGCTCTGGCAGCTATAATGAGAATCCCCACAGTTCAGTTCTAGAGGTGGGTCACCCCACAGTCCAGATCTGGCCTGCCAAATCAAGCTTGATACTGCAAACCTAATTTACTTTGGCAACAGTTTGAGAGAGACTAAATTACAAACTACAACTGCTACCTCAGAGTTGCAGTTTCCACCCTGTGTTCCAGCTAAGTTAAGTCAAAACAACAAACAGCAGTAGCATTTAAAAATATGCAATTACATGAGATATAAGATATGTGATATTAAACTCCAAGAGATAATGCCATATAACATTACCTTTTTGATTTCCTCTTCAAATGCCTTCTCCAAATATTTATATCTCCTGATGAGTTTATTAAAGACCTAAATATAAGAGTAGACTGAAGTTAAAAAGAAAAAAGAAAAAAAATGTAGCCAGCAATTTCTACAGGAGAGCAGGAAAATAGCATTGCACACAGCCAGTCAATACAGAACACCCAAAGCACTTCAAAAATTTTTTCTATGTCTTATCACAGAGGATTTATTTACCTATAGGAGAGGGGGGAGAGGGGAAAGCTGGGATTGCTGGCTTGTCATACCTTTACATTCTACATAGATTTCTTTTAAATGGTACTAAATGTGGTACTCCCACCAAGTACCATCAGGTGAGTGCTGTGCATATTTCTGCTACAACTGCATCCTTAGCCTCATGGAATTACTATAAAATAAATGGTCTATTCACACATGTGCCCTTCTTCAGTGTTCCTGCCTATTACATTGTTTGACAATGGATCCTTAGAAATAATGCTGTGATTTCTGCTTAGCAATATTTGAAGCAGAAGGCAATTAGTGGAGCTTTTCTAGCTCCAGCCTCCAGAGTTCTCATTCCCAGCTCATCAACCCTGCTTCCCATCTCCCTGTTGCCTTTAAAATTTCTTTATGGATGTATTTAGGATAAGAGATCTCTGCTCTACACATAGCAGCCTAAGGAAGCTGGGGGAACTGAACCAATAAATTGTAGTAGTGTCATGAAGTTAATGTACTGAATATATTTTTGGTAAACAAAGGCCTTTTATCTGAGACTTGAACACAAAACAGGAGTCATTACTCCTACGCTCATAATAACTCTGTTTAAATAAGCCCATATGTACAGAAGTACAACATAAAGCTAAAGAGAATGTTGGAATCTCAGAATATTGGCAAACTCTTTAAGGAACAGGCTCTATAATACTCTTTTAGACAAAGAATTGTCTAAATTGTGACCAGATATTCCTACACATCCTTTTCCTTACCTAATATGTATAGGTTAGAGTGGAGAAAAGCAGATTACTACTTAACTGTACTTAAGTGTTCTGTCACTAGTGACCTGCAAGGTCAGGTTGCAGATTTCTCATTATAATCCTCCCTAAAATTTATAAACAGGCTATAAGCGCCTGTCAGTCACAGGGTCCCTTTTCTACCCTGACCTGAGCATTGTTTCGGATGGCATCATGATCTTCATCTGCAGAAAACACACAGTGGGTGGTCATTTTGCTCTTGTCATTGTCATCTATGCGTGTCCCTCCAGGGGCTGGGGGGAGAAAAAAAAAAGGAAAGCACAATAAATACTTACTAATAAACACATAAGCTTTAGTATCTTTGAGATAAAGAGATTAATAACTAGTATTGGGTACAAGGGAAAAGTAAAGTAGTGCCCAGCCAGAGAATGCCTAGGTTGTGGTTATATTTGGAACATATAGAGAAACTAACAGGATTTTCAGTGTGCCATATCCTGCAGTTCATACTACCCTCAAAAGAACTGGGGGATTTGGGTCATAACAAGGAAGTTCATCTGGTTTTGGGGACAGCGCCCTGTTGTCATCTGAGAGTACTGGTTGATACTACCTAAACAATTTGCTAGCACCCTTATGTTAATTTTCATTCATCCTTATAAACACTAATTACTTCTTTTAGTACCTGAAATATATTTCAACTCTTCCCCGATTATTGTACCTAACAAATTTCGGGCATTTGACCGTAACAAAATGAGGTTTAGCAACATCAAATATGTTAAGTATTCAACTACGGCTGCAATTTAAGTTACAGTAAATTGTAAGAATGAGGAGATACAGTTACTGTACACGAGATTACTGATATGGTATTATAACCAAGCATCCCAGACAAAATTTGAAAGCAAGAGATGCAAAAAAAGTGTTTATGGTAAAATTAACATTGCTTGTGGGAAACAGACTAAATGCAAAATGGAAAGTACAAAGAATTCAAATGTAAAAGCCAGTAGATTATTACTTACTAGAAGCTTTTTCTGCTTACCAATTTTATACTACTATAATAAAAATAACAAACAACTAGGTGAGGTTGGATCAAATAAGTATCTAGACAGATTAAACAGATTAAGTTTAGTTTTTGTAGAACAATTTCTACACTAGATAATGAGGACTGCCTCTGAAATGTTATGCTAATGTAAGAAAAGTCTTTAAGCAACGTGCACAAATTTTACCCAACATGCTGCCAGCTACCAGTATATCAAAGAGTGTGTCAGCATAACGACGGTAATCTAGCCTCGAGCCTGTTGCATCCAAGAACTTGGCTGCAGCTTCCAGGTCATTCCCAGCTTCATTGAGGCCTTGGACAATGGTATCCCTGAAGACTGTGGGTTCAAATTTCTCCTTTTCATCTAGGAAACACAAGTCAGATATGCACACAATTATACCCACATATTAAACCACAACTGAAAAAACAAAAGAAACAAAAACAACCCTTAGGAAATTAAAGGGAAAAAAAAGCACTGGTGCAAAATTAAAAATGCATGTGAAGAATTTTCTACTCTTATTTTTCTTGGTAAAGGTCAGTGGCATTTAACATATGTAAATCTTAGAGAAGAAATAAAAACAGCAGTTTCCTGAGTTGCAGACAGAACAGAAGGAAACTGCAATATTACCATTTATACTCAGAAAGAAACAGTTCTTTGAAACAGTGGCAACCAGTGATGCATGGCCTAGGCGAATCTCCCAGCTGAATTTGATAAACAAACAGATTTTGACCTCCAAACAACATTTAAGTCAACGCCATTAGTCATAATAGATACCCTAGCAAAGCCCAATGAGCTTAAGGAGAGAGTAACATATCCCTTCTGTTATTCCCTCAGCCTTCTGTAAACACATGCACATATAACAGCTTCACAAACAGTTGCAAATGCCACAAATAAGCAAGAGCTATACAAACTATTATTTTCAAAATTGTTTATGATACCAAACGCATACTGGGTACTTTATTGAACAGTGTGAATTCAAAGTCCCTAAGACCTTTAGGAATAGTTTGTTTAAATACTCAATGGCTGTACTGCGCTTAGTTCTTAAGAGGCATCTGGATTATATTGCAAAAAACCCACCACAACAGCCCTTCATTTGAAGGCTGCATTGAGAAGCAAACTTGACTCAAAGCAAATTGAATAGTAAAACTTTGTTATGGAGTAACAACAGCATATTGAGCTATAAAGTACATAATTTGTGAACAAGCACAGTCTCCATCACATGGTGGTGGGAGCAGGTATATTTGCAGATGCAGTATCTACAGTGTCAAAGGCAAGAATTTTGTCTACAGAACTTGGAGGAGGTCCAGCTAGCAGTTTCACTCACTCCATTTCCAAGTCACCATTCCCATCTGTACATACATACCAGAATCCTCCTCCTTTTTGAATGAATTATAACCCTTCAGAAGACCCCCAAATCAGAGACCTGAATGCCTTTTCCAACCAATATCTATATTTATCTTAGCCCCTTTCTGACCTCACCTTACTATACTGAGAGTTCCTATTGATTTTTAGTGAATAAGTGAGGATATGGCAAATTCTGTTCCTTCTCAAGCAAGGGAATTTGCATTCTTATACTAAATTCTTCAATCAATAAAACATTGTGTTCAATTGTTACCTATGTATATCTATACCTATATATATTATTAGTGTTTCATTTTAATCGTGGATTGGTGGGGGGGAACTTGTTATTTTTTTATCAGAGAAAACCAGGATCCCTGCTGATTACCCTTACTTGTTATAAAACCTGGCAACTGAAATTTAAAAAAAAGTAAGAAAGCATACGAAGGAGTGAAAAGGAGGGAAGGATAAAACCAGAACAGTTAGTTCATGACTAAATCATGAATACAGCAAACCTTTTGTGATTCTCAGCTTGTACGTTCTGCTTAGATCCCTAATAAATCAATCAGGTCCTCTGAATGATGATGGGATTAGTATTTCTTCTGAGATGCTCAGAAAGACTCAAAACATGTTGCTTCTTCCTAATCCACACATAAAATCAGCTCTACTTACATCATCCTTCAACAGAACTGAAGGTCAGGTGTAAATTTAAAATATGTTTCCTGCTTCCAAACAAGTGTGTGTGCATGTGTGTGTGT